CCGGGACGGGCGCTCCGGGGCTTGGAGCGCGGTCCGCCCGAATCGCACTTGCGCGGCGCGTCGCGCCGTCCGCAACCGGCCGCGCGCCGGGACTCCTTTGTTTGAGTCGACGGGGGAGGGGGGAGGGGCGAGGCGTGCCCCGGGTCTCCCCCGACCCGCACGTGTGGGGGGACGCGCAGAGAACCCCGGCCCCAATAACGGTAGGGAGGCTCCTGGGGCCGGGCTGAGGGGCCTTGGCCTGTTCTCCGGGCCCCGCCCCCCTCGCTGCTCTTCTGGGGACTCCCCGGCCCCCCTCCAGCCTGGAAGGGGGCTTTCCTTCCTCTGGAGAGAGAGTGTGGGTTACTCTCCGGCTCGCTGGGCCTGCCCTCCGAAGCTCTCTCTGATTCCTGACCTCTCCTGTGGCATCTCTGCTTTCATCTCGGTCCTTATCCCTCCGAGTTCCCTCCAGTCTCGGCCCTGCCCTTCTAGCCGAGTCGCCTTTGGGTGAATCACCTTTGGGTGAATCCCTGTGTCCATACCCCTCCCCAGTTCCCCCTGCCTCTCTCCGCTCTCTCCGTCTGCTTGAGACAAATTGTGACTCTGTATTCATTCACTCACTAACATTTACTAGGAGCCTACTGTGTGCGGGGGACCTGGGCTGGGGGGCCAGGAATTAGGAAGATGAGAAGACCGAGACTCTGCCCTCCCAGAGCCCAGAGCCCCCCTGGGGAGGGCAGGCGCCACGACAGGTCATTCTAATGCCAATACCATATGATAAGCGCTATTGTTGTCTTCCAACTCGGAATTCCTCTCTCTGGTTCCAGACCAGTGCCTCTGAGCCGCTTAGAGGACTTGTTAAAAATCCAGGGTCCGAGCCCCCGACGCTGAGGTTTCTGGCTCCTTCACTCAATTCACAAATATCTATCGAGCGCCGTCCTTGTGCAGGACACTTCTCCAGGCACTCAGGACCCGGTGAGAGGAAACACACACAGGCCTGACGGGTGCTCCAGTGGGTCTGCGCTGGGCCCAGGAACCTGCATTTCTAGTCAGAACTCCTGGTCCTGGAGGTGCTTGGACCACCCACTGAGGGGCAGCTGGAGGCCTTTCCTATACCAGGCTGGGTTGTGTGTCATTGTGGTCGGGAGGGGGCGTGGTTCCTTCTGTATGGGGGATGCTGGGGGTGGTATGTCCCAGTCCTTCCCACCTGCACTGGCTCCCCCAGGCAGCTCCCAAGAGGTGGGGAAGGGAGTCCTGAGGAGGCTGAAGATTGGGTGATATGTGCAGGGGGCTCCCCTCCATGTCTGGCACCTCCTTGTCCTGAAAAAAAAAAAAAGAGGGAGGCACCCACCATCCACTCCCCCGTTGGCGTTCTTCTCGGCATTGGGTTGAGAGCTCAAGGACAGTCTCCCTGGCTGTGCATCTTTTAAAGGGGATGCTGCCCCCAGTCTCCCTCCCTGTGGCTGCCCTGTGGGCCCGATCTCTACCCCTTGCCTCTGTTCCAGCTCCTTCGCAGCAGCCGCCCAGCTAACAGTTAGGAGGCACAGGTGCTGGGCCAGGCCCTGGCTGGGCACCGGGCTGGAGAGATGGTGGCAGCTCCAACACCAAAGGCAGGGTGTGGTGAGAGGCCTTCTCACGTTGGAGCCGCATGGTTGTGAGCACTGCAGTCCTTAACCTCTGCACCTGGGAGCCTGTTGCTCATTTATTGCTCGCACTCTCTTTGTCCCTCGGAAGTTGTCAGTCTGGAGAACTCCGGCCTCTCCAGACGGCAGGGCAGGGGCTGGCAGAGACCCTTGGAAAGGATGTCCCTGACCCCTGTGCCCCACCGTGACCCCCTCAGCCCACGCCTGCCTTGTGTCTGCAGGCTGCTTCGGGGAGACGCTGTGGTGGAGCTGGGCCTCAACGACTACCTGGACATCTTCTGCCCTCACTATGAGGGCCCGGGGCCCCCCGAGGGCCCTGAGACGTTCGCTCTGTACATGGTGGACTGGTCGGGCTATGAGGCCTGCCAGGCACAAGGGCCAGGCGCCTTCAAACGCTGGGAGTGCTCCCTCCCCTTCGCTCCCTTTGGCCCTGTTAAATTCTCGGAGAAGATTCAGCGCTTCACACCCTTCTCCCTGGGCTTCGAATTTTTGCCTGGAGAGACCTACTACTACATCTGTGAGTGAGGAAGGGCACACGGGCGCCTCTTGGGGGAGGGTGGGAGGGGTACCTGACTGCCACCAGTCAAGGCAGAGAGAGCCTAAGGTGTGGAGGAGGGATGGGGCTGGGAATGAAGACCAGACCTGGGACGGGGGAGGCAGGAGGGGCTGTGGTCAGAGAGGGGGCCTGGAGGGGCCCTGAGTCCAGGACTGAGGGGGCATCTAGAGTGAGTCTATAGAGAGGAGGAGGAGGAGGAAGAGGAGGACGAAGAGCTAGGAAAGGGGCTGAGGGGACGAGGAGCAGCCATGAGTGGGGCCTGGCACCTGGATGGGGCCCGAAGGGAAGGTAACGTTTTCCAGGAACTGCAGAGAAGAGAACTTAGGAGGGTCTGAAAGGGTCTGCACACCAGCCTGTGCTAACTTTTTCCTCCCGCCAACCAGCGGTGCCGACGCCCGGGAGTTCTGGCCAGTGTTTGAGGCTCCAGGTGTCTGTCTGCTGCAAGGAGAGCAGTAAGTGGGTTGCGGCACGGGGAGCAGCCCTCCGGCGGGGGGCCCTTCTTGGGAAGGAGGGAAGGCCTGGGGAGAGCCTGGGAGACTTCGAGGGGTCCAGGGAGGGCTGTAAGCTCTGGCCCCGCTCCCCTGTGCAGCCTGTGGGAGCTCCCACTGCAGTCTGTGTGCTGGGCCAGCAGAAATCACATCTCCGGGGGCCAGGCCTTCGAAAGCTTTAGCTGAGCCGGTGGTCTACACTGGCAATTTGGGGGAGACTCGGAAGCTGGGTTTTAGGGAGGACAAGGTGGTCCATTATGGGGAGGGAGTGGCTGATTGGAAAGGTCCTGGAGAACAGGAGGGGAGCGAACAGCTAACGGAGAGAGGGAAAGGAGGCTGCTGGGATGGAGGACACATCAGTGCTACCCTCCCCCTCACAGAGCCTGAGTCAGCTCATCCTGTTGGGAGCCCTGGAGAGAGTGGCACATCGGGGTGGCAAGGCGGGGGCACGCCCAGCCCCCTCTGCCTCTTGCCGCTGCTGCTGCTCCCAATCCTTCGTCTCCTGCGAGTTCTCTGAGCCAAGTGGACCCTTCCTGCCACCCCAGGAGCCAGAGCCCCCCCAAGACGCCCTGGAGGAGGAGCCCCTGCCGCCCGAGCTAGGAGCGCCACGCCCGACAGACAAGGTGGAGGCGTGAGGAGGGAAGCCAGAGGGTCCGAGGTGACCCCTGCATGCTGGCCCCCTCGTCCCAGGCTGAAGAGGAGCCACGGGGGAGCTGCCGGCCGCCTTGGGCATCTGGAGCCAAGGCCAGCTGAGCCCAGGTCTCCTCAGCTGCTGTGAGGGCCTCTTCATCTCCCAGGAAGACTGGAATTTGGGGGATTGAAGCCTTGGGCCTGCTGGGGGCCAAGACGAAGAGCTGGGGCAGGCGGACTGAAGGACCAGGGCCAGGAAGCCGCCCAGACCTGCCATCTGTGCCCAGTGCCCTGTGGACCCTGCCCGAGGGCAGCGCCTTTCCCTTCCAGGGGCCACTCACTCGTCTTCCGTGAAGACAGACTTGCCACGAGGCTGAATTTCGTACCAGTTTGTATTTTTATAAGTTTCTGGACCAAACCCTCAATAAACCACCCGTCTTTTTTGTTGCTCCCCTCAACCTTCTGCCCCCTGGCCCCTTCCTTGACACCAGGACTCCCTGCGGCCTCTGCTCTCAGCGTGGCTTGGCCTGACCTCCCTGCCAGCTGTGCCCAGGCCATCCATGCCAGGCCTCGGTGGGCACCCCTCTGGGCAGTGTGGAGTGGGCGCCAGCAGCAGCTGTGGAGCTTGGCACCCTCGCCCACCCCCCTGAGCCGGCTTCCTGTGCTGAGGAGAGGGTGGATGCTCCCGACAGCCCACCCACTTGGGGCACTGCCCAAACTGCGGCAGCACCAGGCCGTGCCACAGGAAGAGGCACCGTGGGTTTCAGCGCTTGGGTCCCTGAGAGCTGAGCGTCGCTCTCCCTCCCAAGGGCAGCCTGGGCGGTGCCTGGCCTAGAACTGGGAAGGTGGGGTCGGATCAAAGCCTCCATCCCCAGCGGCCTCTTTGTTCTTCGCTTTTATAGGGAGGGAGGGGGTGGGCCAAGGAGGGAGGGCCCCCTTTGCTCTCAGCCCCACACTCTCCTGCCTCTGCAGACAAGGCTGTGATACCGCCCCAAACCCATCCGGGGCGCTCTTTCTGAATGATGCCCT